TTAGAAGTTTATTAGTCTATTTAGAAGACGACTTACATGAGAAGCAATGAAATACGCAATGAGATTGAGTCCAAATCCCCACCATATGGTTCCAAAGATATAGCCAGTGACCTTTTGCATTTTCCTCATTAAGTAAATGCTATGGTGAACTTTGGGTAGAAATTGGAATAGAATAATAAGCAACAATATCGTCATCAAAATTTGTATTCGATCTTGTTTTAGTAACATTGGCACGATAGACCAGATTACAATCTGCAAGTAAGCATAAACAAATTAATCATCATTATAAACTGATTAGTAAGTCCATAAACACTCGTTACGTAGGAATTTATGGTATAATCATTCAATCTATAGATGGTGAATTTGACTCCTTAATTAGCTCCTATGAGGCTAATTTAGCCCTACTTATTATATATCATGACATCTATGTAAGAATTCTATAGGGTATTCCTTATGTTATGTTTAGTTCAATTTATTTGAGTTGATATTAGTTTATTTCAGAAATAATCATATCAGATAAGATCAGACCTTATATTTTTAGGGAATGAGTCACAAAGACAATATCAATCAATTAATTGAAAAAAAAGGTGAGGGATTCGAACTTACGACCTAATGTACACAGGCCGTCAATCTAAACTAAAACCAATTTCCTAAGTAACACATGGTTACTGAAACAGTAGAACCAATTTCCCAAGTTTCACATGGTAATCTGAATTGCTGAAATTTGTCTAACCAAAGTAATACATGGTAAATTTAACAGTAAGACAAGCAGAAAACTGAATTTCAAGGTTGTTTAAAACAAAGATACCCGTTCAAATGGGCCAGATATGATATATATGTAATCTGAAGTCACTGTCATCATCCCATTATATTAGGTAGGAAACAAAAGAACCTTACACTACACCCCTTTCACTATTTCAGTCCGTTACTCTTCATACATTAATAATTGATTGTGCACATAAACTCTTACTCGAATGATTTTGTTTGCCATTAGATTTCATGTGATTTTCCTTGGCATTAGATTTTATATGATTTTCTTTGGCGTTACATCTCATATGATACTGCGACAGTAACAAATACTTCGAATGATATTCTCTCCGTTTTTCTTGTTCTAATTGTCGAATCACATGTTTTTTTGAGGTTTCAAATGAGATATTTTAGTTATCTATGTAGCTTCACTGAATCTATACTCATGTGTTCCTGAAAGTTCAACTCTCTTACTTGTTTTTACAAAAGTACGCGGTTGAGTATTATAATATAAAGTTGGATAAAATAAGAAAAATTAATTAAAGAATATAAAAATAATAAAAGAGGATTATAAAATGCAAGTTAATGAAGGTGAGAATATGATATGGTATTTTGGTAATATGAGATTATTGCCTATCATATCACTAATAAATAAAGCCGGTCTCACAGCCAGCCACGAGGCATCGACACTTGGCATTTCAGTTTTTCGCCAAGTGTCACGCCACGTAGGCAAAAACTAGGTATTATTGTGACACATATAATGCTCAGAAAGCGAATTTTGGATAGATATTTTAAGATAAAATTGTTGTATAGAGATTTATTGTCAATATATTTCGAATATTTTCATATATACAAAATTAATCATAACTTTTTAATAAAAATCTAATAACTCGATTTTATTTCCATCATAAAATTCGTTTTAAAAAGTTCTTTAAAATAAGGTCCATTTATAATATATTTTAATAGAGAATTAGTAAAAATAAGTTTTAATTGGTAAAAATACTTTCAATTTAATAAAAATAATTTAAGTATGATATCGCATGTCTAAATATCCTACATTATCAAAAGTGATTATATAATCGTATTTCACATTCAAGCCAAAAGGTTTATCATAAAATTTAATAAATAACCTGAGCATCGTCCAAGGAACAAAACTAGTAATAAAATAAAGTGAACTTTTTTACTTCTAAAATTTATTATTTTATTACAGTGTAAAAGTTAACTAACCAAATCTATCTTGTACATAATCATTAAAACGATGAGATAAGACATACTCATTACAATAATCTAAAGAAAATATACTTTAGACCCCACCAAATTCTAAAATTTCAAGTCGAAATAGGTATAATTTCAATAATTCACATAGAAATTCAATTATTGAAAATTGCTTGTTCGAAATAATAACGTAAAAAGCCTAACGCTTCGTATAATTTGAAACTGTATCTTTTAATTCCTTTATTTCTTTGTTAAACATGAACATAGATTAATGAACATGTTATTTTTTATTAAAAAAAATCGAGTCACAAAATTCATACCTGTGGAATTGGAAGTATGACATAGAGATCAAACCAGAAGCCTTTCAATGAATGTCCATAATGTGAAGCAATGGCACGTGCATCCCACACGAGTTTCCCACACCCAACAACGAGCGATTCCCTTGACACGTACGCCAGCCGGAATTGGAGCCACACATGCCAGAGATGAACAGCATCCACACACGTGCGAATGACGGTAACCACCGCTGCTAGAACCCCATCCATGTAAAGACATGATCCATCTCGCCCAATGGATAGAGCATAGAAGAACACAGGGTCAATGGCTAAGGCCACGGCCCGTGCGAGTAAGATGACACGGTTCCATCTTCGTACTCTTTCGCTCCTCGGGTCTAGTATCGGTCCAAACAGGCCAGTCGGCCATCTCTGGAGGGAGCCGCGCTTTCCCTTGGCCTGTTTCGACCGAGAACATAATTCAGTTCGGGTTCGAATCGGGTAAAGGGAGGACCCCGCAGAGGCCTCCCATTCAGGTTGACCAGCTCGATCACAACTAGTGGAGTGGAATACAGGAACCCCGACTTGAGTGCATGCATAGCACTCAATTGCGGGGTTACTGCTCCAACTTCCACTAGTATTAGTATCATCCTCATTACTACTAATGTTACTATTACTATTACCATTATTACTTCCCTCCCCAGCCGTTGCACCCTCTTGGGTGGGCGGCGGCCCTTGTTTCTTTACCAACATCCGCCAAAACCTGCAGTATTATGAAACAAAACAATCAATAATAACAAGACTTGAGATCAATTCCCGTCTATATAATATATTAAAAAAGATCGAACCAGATATACGTACTCGAGGAGGGAGGAGGGCATGGTTGGAAATGAGGAACAATGAAAGATGAATAGAGAGAGAGTAGTGTGAGTTTGGATGTTGTGTAATGAGGAAGGAGGGAGTGATAAGAGTGTTGGTGTCGAGTAGTGAAGATGGAAGCAAGTAAGGTTAGTATAGACGAAAGAGGGAACTGATTTACGGAACGTAAAGTGGGACCAATATTGTTGTGTAATTATGTTAATCTTTTAGAATTTGGCGAAAAATGTACGATTATTGACAGAATTATTACGCCTACTATTAGTCTCTTTATGTAGTTATATGTATCATATCATGCATATGGTCCCCAAACCCCAATTGCAACAAAGCAAATTCACGTTTCTTCGATGTACTACGTATCTATGGTCCCGCCACCTCGGTTATTCAAACAAAATACCAACAAGATTAAAATAGTAAAAATAAATCAAGCAGTGCTTTGTCTAGTTGAAGGATTCGGATTTTGTACGAGACTGTAGTAATAAATCCTATTATGAAGCTTTTAGCGGTGTGGATTTTCCTACCCTTAACACCTCCCCTTTTAAGGGACATTTTTTTATTAATCTGGATGGAATTGACTTGAGTGAGATTCTTTGCCTCAAAGAATAACCAATATACATAGTAAAAAGAAAACAAAGCAATAGCCATATTAATTTTAAACTCGCACATGAAAGAAAACAAATATATAACGTGATACATGACCCTTTTTTGTCACAAGATTTGTACTAAGTAACTATTAAGGTATTAAACAAATAAACTCGCATTTGTGTTGGATTTGATTTAGGTTAAGCTATAGTGAGCCATATATTTTTTTTTTCTTTTTTTTATGATAAGAAGAATATCACTATAAAAACATCCACATTCATGAATTTTTAAGCTATGTATCAAGCCAAAGTTCAATTGGATATATAGTTAGTCATCACATAACGAGTCGACTTTTGACTAATATTGTCTTTCTAATTAAAAAATACTCTCTCATACTTATAACACAATGGTACTTTTCCACATGAAATTGCCATAGCTTGCAAAATTTATGCTCTTTGTCCTTTCGTTCATTCCCCAAGCTCAATGAAAAATGGGATACAAAGGTAATATTTGATGTTTTATGAAGCATGTTCGAAGGCAAATGTTTGGATTTTAAAACCGACAAGTTCGTTTAAGAAAGTTTACTTATGTTTAATTTGTACTCTTTGTAACAAAGGAGTTAGTACGGCTTTTTTGAGTGGTTAAGCGAACTTTTTTCGTAGCTTCTAATACTTTAATTCGGTTTATTGAGCATATGTCAAAAAAAAAAAAAAGGTTACAAAAGCAATTTCATTTCTAAGCCGTACATTAAAACCATTTTGGTGAGTTTTTTCTAAGCAAATCCAAATCCAACACCTTTTACATACACCTGAGTGTATATAGAGGTAGGCGCATCAAAAAGTGGTTTATTTTGCTCCTTTTAAGATTTTAGTATAAGCAAAAACTAATAAATGAGCAGAAAACATCTATTAATGTACCTGCACCTGAATGTATATAATATATTTTACGGCTAATCTAAACTTTTTTTCAATGCTATATTCTGGGATGCAGTTTCCAACCCAAATCAAGCTGATAATTTCGTCCACTACTCGTGTTATTGTCTTCCCAATATTATGCAATTGCTTTGGGCGTTTAAAGTTTTTCTACGATATCATCCCTCAGCAAAATTTCCAATGAGTGTTAAATTCATTAGAAGCGCCTGCAAAATTTATAGTACTTGGTACTCCAACCAACAGAAATAATCAAGCTGCAACTCTGTTGTCCCAAGCAAAGTAAAACGACGGGAAGTACATAAGTACATAGCCCATATGCACATAAACCGAATTTAACCGCTTGCAACTCACATGACTAACCAAACCAAAAGCAGAAACAAAAAAGAAATAATTAGCCAGGCTTGCTTAATCAGATACTTTATCAGAAGATTTCGAGCTCATCTCAGTACTGATAAAGATGGATGAAGTAACAAAAACAAAATCCTCCTCAATGTGGAGGTACTGAACTCGAATCCAAAAAGACAAAATGGCTAACATTACAGGTGTACACTAAACTTCACCTACAGATAGTGTGCTGTGAAAGAGGAAAGAAGATGAAACAGATAAACAAAATAGGTTCTATTCCTCCACTAGCAGATGCAACTCATTCATGTTTGAATAGCCCGGTCCCTTCAGAACAGAGCACTTTTCTAGTTGACGCAAACAAACAATATTAGATAAGGTTAGCTCTCTTTAGAAACCTTATTGTCCTGCAATAGTGCGGCCATATAGACTCCACGAAATCAAGGTACTTCTCAACAAACCACTCTTGAAACACCTTCCATTTTCTCATAGTAAACTCTTTGTAGTCCAGGTTTTTTATGTTGACAAAAGGTTGCCAAAATCGTGCTCTGATGTCTTCTTTAAGCTTGCCTTCAGCAATGTAACTCGACGATAATGAGAAGTAAGTCGGTAGGTTTTTAATTACCTTGACTGATTGCTTGAAGGAGAAAACATATAGAGCAAAGATCCCCCGTAGCAGCTTCACATACAGAGCGACAATCAGGGGACCTATGATCCACAAGGGGGTTAATTCTCTTGAAACTTGACTGCCATACTTCACATTTACGGCTAGATAGAGAGGAATGCTGCAGAAAATTCACAACCAAAAAGAAATCCCATAAGCATAATATATATAAAAGCCAAGTAAAATTTAAAGAGTACCAACTGCTCTTCTACATATCAATAACAGAAGGAAAGACATCTTTATGATCTGTTGATTTGGTATGAAACTGAGATAGATGAAAATAAAGTATCAAATTTGTCATGTTAGCTTATCTACATCAAAACTCCTAGAAAGTTCATATTGATACAATTTTTCAATTGCATTTATTTAATAAATATAAAATGACTACATAATCATGGTCAAACCAGGAAAATGCCTCCCCTGGATTTTATATTTGCATCAGGTCTTCTAAAATTATTGCTCATATCAGGAATTGCCTCTTACGAGGGAATATTTTGAAGAAATCCAGGATAAGTGACAAACTAGAAGAAGAAGACGATAGTGAAGGTCAGATGACTAACTTTAACACCTACAAGGTCATATATAGTATTAATAACCTCCAGAAATGCCTCCGTTTTTTTATATAGTAAAACCAATTCATTAATAAATAGTCATACGACATCTAGTCATCTACTACAGAGATATAAATTTAACAAATACATAACAACTCGAATCAAATAATGGTTTCCTTCAACATAATAACTTAGTCATCAAATTAGAAACTCATCAGTCATTTGTCACAAAGAAATGAATATTTACAACAACAACAACAACAACAATAACAGGAAATAAAATAAAATAGCAAAAATAAATAAAAATAAAGTTCCAATTATTACAGATAATTACAAAGATTCAATCATGCATATAAAAATATATATTAAAAAAATAACATGAAGAATTGAGCTAAGAATAACACTTTCCAATTCACTCTCAATAAATGGCTAACGGCTAATAGATGTGACAGCAAGAATATCAGTTTAAATAAGTCGACTCACACGTATCAATTTAGAAATTAGAATTATAAGAAAAGCACTCACTATTTTGCAAGTTCTAGTAACTATAGCTTCTATCTAAATGTACTTGTAACATTGTTGACATTAAATTCCAAAAAGAGGGAAAAACTTTAGAGTGTACACTTACGAGCACAGCAAGAAAGTAAATCTTACTCTCCCCTCCACCCCCCCTCCCCCCCCCCCCCCGGGATCTGAAATAATAAAGAAATAAACTCTAATCTGAATCCTAGGTGTGGTCTCATCTAAGTTCTAATGTACCTCAATTTGATTATTTCTAGTCTGATTTTGTCGATTGACAATATTTGTACACTAATACTTTCTCCGTCTCTTAATAGTTACATCATTTTGACTTTTTACACTATTCTTATACTAGGTTTGACCAAGTTTTATTACTAATACACAAAAATGAATTTCATTATTTTAATTGTTGTTGAGCTAATCCCAAAAAATATTTTTTTCACAAAAAATTATAGCAAAGTAGTGTGAATTAATATAAAAAAAGAAGAAAAAAAATACCTAAAGTGCGGTCTTATTAGATTCAACTTATTTTGTATTTTGATTATCACGGAACTAAAGATACTTAATACTTTGTAATACGCAGAAGAAAACAAGAGCATAGCTTAAAGGTACAATTTAGACATACTTTTGTCCCCAATTTCGCCTTTTTAGTCCAACAAACACAACATATTATGCATATCTTCACTCCTTCCCTAATAGTATCATTACATTTTCATACAAATTTGGGTGCAAGCCACAAAGGTCTGCTGCTACATCTTCATTGATAAACTAACAAACAATGATGTAGCATAATGACCCACAATGGGTGGTGATTTTAAAAGCCAAAGTGCATAACAAGCATTCGCTGAATCACTTCCACAATACTGTAATTGTCTACCACTAAAAAGTTAAGTTTGTTGAGGAAACTGGAGCAACCAATTTGGCAATAATGCTCATCAACTCCATAATTCTGATGAATACCGCTAAAGAATGTTTACAAAAACCAACTAGATCAGTGTGATTTCCCCAAAAGCAAAGCAAAAACAAACAACCTCCTAATACCAAGTTGTTGACATATAACATACACTACAGAGCACATCTAATTGACTTTTTGCACATAATAAGTGAAAAGATTTTGCCAGATAGAAAGGCTTTAAGCAAAAATGGCAAGCCAATTAAAAGACTAGGGAATTTGATAGACAACTGAAAGCTTCAAGCATAAGCTATATACTTACAATATTAGTAAGGGAACCATTATTGTTGCATCCAGTCCCAGAAAGTAGCACAAAACCACCTTTAGAGTCTCACCTCTTTCCTTAGACTTGGTTGCTGTTTGCTCAGTCAAATGGTCCATTTGAGGTGGCTTTTCCAGGATACCATCTCCAGTTTCAACAGTTGCTCCTGTTCGCAGAAGATTCAACCATTTCAAGAATAATCCATGTATAGTCTGAGATTGAGATATTGTCTTGTCTGACTCGGACGTACAAGATACTGGCATGTCCTGTGCTGCGGGAGACACTTGTAAATTTTCCTCCTTTTCGTGCGGGAGGAAAGAAATTTTGACTGAGCTATTGGGTGATATTGGTTTAATTGACGCATCTCTGGCTTTATCATTTTGAAAGTTTGCTTTGAAGGATGAAATATGAAACGATTTCCCTTTAGCTTCATGTACAAATCTGGGTACTGGCCTGCAGCAGCAAACTTATCATAAACATAGGGGACCATGAGAAGAAATCGACTTTGAAAGCAGACCTACACAAGACGCATGAAATGTAACTATAACTGAGCACTAAAAAGACGTCAAACTGATAAAAAAAAGTACTATGGAGCAGAAAGAAGTATCAAGTATTGGCAAAGATTTGCCTCCGACTTCAATAACTAATGTAAGGCCAATGAGATTGAAGTGAAAAGGCAAAAGGAAGACTATTTTCAACTTAAGCATCAAGCTTGAAACATTTTCATAATACAGAATAAAATTAAAAAGAGTACTAATGATGTAAATGGGTTTAGTTGAGCTAACATTTCAAGTTGATGTTTTGAACTCCGCTCACGCTCAAGCTTTTGGCGAACATGACCCAAAACTTGTTCATGAACTAAAATGATTCAAGGCTTTCAACCTCATTCACATACATAACAAAATCCATGAACATCTTAATCAATTGAGGAAAATATTGGTTTGCAGAGGCTAAATCAGGGCGATACATAAACATTTACAGTGTTTAACATATGGGATCAACCAATTGGAAATGAGTTCTAAAATATGACTCAAGTTCATATAAATTTAGCACATGAGTTATTCAGGAGTACATTAACACATTTACCAAAGCTATAAATTTCATGTGCCAATTATAACCGATATGCTTTATTCTTTGAAGCCTAGAAGGGAAAAAACCAACAGCACATCCATATTATAAGAATGGTACACTAAAAGTTTGAAAAAATTAAGCCTGCATATCCTGGCTTGGGATTATCGCACTATAGCCCAAAAGCAAAAAATTCAATACATTAAATTAAACACCAAATCTGAGAGAGTGAGGGACAACTCAAGTGGTTAGAGCTTTATTCCCGATTCCAGGATAGATCGATTTTCACCCCCGCCCTTGTGGCTCTCTAAACACCAAAAAAAAAAAAAAAAAAAAAAAAAAAAAATTAAATTAAATTAAATTAAACACCAAATCTGAGTAGCCTCGTAGATTATTATGCAATTCCTTATTAAAACAGAAAATAGCAAGTGTTCTAGCCTCTAGGTTTCGTTCACTATAAGTACAAACTACTCTGGGTAACATTTTAAAAGTTAAAAACTATAGCGGCAGATATTTAGCCCCTTCATTCACCATTATTTCCTTGAAAATTCACAAAGTCCTCTATGGATTCTACGGAGTATTCTCGTGTATCAATATCACAAACAAGTAAAAGTTATAATAGAACAATAAATAACAACGAGGTCATTGCAACTTAAATGAATCAATAAAATCAACACAATAGCATGATAATGACCTCAAAGGAAAAGTTGGCTTCAGTGAGATACACCTATCGGTTCGTGAAATCATTTGAAACCGGACTATATTTTGCCTTAATCTTATTCCTTTGTTCCATGATGAATTTCTTAGCGGAACCGCAACTGCAGCGCCAGGCCCGTCCCTGAGGGGGGGCCGCCCTAAAATTTCCATTTTTATAGTTCCTCCCTAACAATAAACAAAACCCTGCAACACATTAGCAACAAAATATGACTTAATCATCATCCAGTATATACATATATGTATATATAATTATAAGCAATAGTTCAATAATCCCAACCCTAAACTAAATTGATTACACTGACAATTAATTAAATCAACAAAACCCCAGATTATCTTATAAATTCAATTTCAACAACATATAACTTATTTATCTTTAAACATTAAGAAAACAAATTTGAGTTCTGGTAAATTATTAAGTGTTACCTGTATATGATGGGTTGCCAATACCATTTCATCTACGTTAAACAGCAAATCATTTACCCAATTTCACCTGTTGATAATAATAATTAAACACCAAACAAAAAGTGGAAAACATAATCTTACAAAAACATGAAAGGATACAAAAACTTCGATTAATTGATGTTTCGATAAAAAATCACGAACTAATTTAAAATTTTAAAAACAAAATTGAATGTAGTTCATGACTGAAAAGGGTACCTGGAGTTGTCGTCGGTCAGGCCGGAGAGGAAGGAGACGATTGGGTTTAGGTAAGCAAGAACAAGAAAGTTCGGTGCTGAGGATTTGGATTAGAAACTTTGGAGGTGGATGGATAATAGCATTTCCTTAACGTTTATATCTCTTTTTTTATTTTTATTTTTTTATTTTTTAACAAGAACTTCTTAAATTATTTTACTACCCATTAATTAAAATTTACTAGATGTAAGTTCGTGCATGGCACGAATATTTTATATTTATTTTGATCTATGATTCCCTATAATATTTTTATTTTATTTTGATTTCTTTTAGATAAATTGAAGAAATAATAATTCTTTTTACAAAGTCTACTGACAACCCCTACAACACTAACGAAAAAATCACATGTCTCTATTAATAATAATTAAACTAATTTAGTTCCCGTTCCATGCACCGGTAATTTTCAATAATTATTATTAAATTGTTATTATAAATTAATTTTCTATAAATAAAAGAATATCAAAAAAAAATTGTCAAATTTTGATCTAAATACGGAGTACGAATGATACAATAGATATAAAATGATGTGTTGTTATAAAGATATAATAATTGTAAAATATTATTTAGAGATTGACATGGAAAATAAAATTTATTGATTTGTGTAAGAAAAAATGTTTATTTATTTATTATTTTTTTTTCTTGATGCAAAGCCAAAAGGCTAGAATTTATGAAAAGCAGAAATCAGAAGCTAAAACATCATCAAGAACTATCGGGTAGCTCTCCACCCAAACTCTAGTAGAGTAGTCTAGGGGGTGTAGATGCACAATAGGATGAGCTGCCCTATTAGTCTCACGAAAGATATGCGAAAATAAACACTTTCAAAGCAAAAATGTTTAGTTAATAGGAAGATTAGTAAAATTAGTTTGGACAATTTTTTTCTATAAGAAGCATTGGATGTTAAATTTAGTATCAATATTTGAAAGATTGCAATAAAGAATAATATAGATTTTCATGAGATTTTTTGGGCCTATGTAATATATAATATTATATTCTAACTAACTTTTATATAAAGGAATTGATCTTATAATTAAAATAAAATACTTACTGTTTCGGGTGTAAATAATGGGTCCTTCGTTTGGACCTTTTTTGTGGGCTAATGAAGACTAGACTAGACTCGGCCCAAGTGATGACTGAAACAAGGGTTTCCAGCTCAGCTGTAACACCCCAATAATTCTCCCTTTGACCAGAGAATTATTGACGTGTCACCGCCACGTATTCAAATGTTAAGGCTTGTATCAGAATTTGCAGCGGAAAACCAAATCGTTTCAAACAAACTTCAAACCAACAAAACCAAATAATTTTTATAAGTTGGAACCACTCAAGGTCCTTATTCAAAACCCAAACACTATTTGATTAATCCAAATTCAAACCAAAGAAAGTTTAGTAAAGTATTGTTTGCTTAAGAAAAATAAACTATTGCAAAGGTGTGTCAACACTCCACTCAATCCCGTTATATCAACGATGTCTTCAACCATGCAATACATGTGAAAAGTCTGTTCCCCGATATTACAAGTGTAAAAATTGGATCGTCACAGGGTCATTGAAAGACGAAGGCCATGACCAAAGAAGTACACACACAAAGCATGTAATCAGCAAAGCTGAGTACATACAAACTACGGAAATAAAGAAACACAAAGATCCTAGCATGCTACTAATCACAAATATATCCAACTTATATCTTATTCAACTAGTAGGCATAAACTTCCAATATTAACGCAAGACTCATATGTTTCAACTCGACTCTTGATTCGTTTAATTAGTAAATTCCTTGGATTAAGCAATAGACAAGGTTGTCTCCCCCATGTTCCTATTAATGAACATCAGAAAATAATAAATAAAATCCCATGCTTCCTTGTCAGAAAACATCAAAACAATAATAATAATAATAATCCAGATGGTAAACGGGCGCGACACCGTCACCATAGTTAGATGAGATCTTAACTAACCCCAATTTAGTTTAAAAACCTTGTAAATTAAAGAGACTCGTAGATCACACGACCTCTAGAAAAGGCCAGGGATAATACCCCGTGAAAACTCCTTCTTCTCCCTCAAAGCCCCTTATCCATCTCTAGCAGCTTGCATTCCCCCACATTAGCTACATTAAGAAGGAACGCGACCCCCCAACCCCACGGGGGAGAAGTTTACAAAGGATTTATTTAGTAGACTTCATTTCAAAATTCATCTCGTTATAGAAGATCTCCCATACCGAACATGCATGCAACTGCTTGTCGCATACTCCTGCTACTCCGACCTACGCTTCTCACATCGCGTCCTTGGTCCTTAAACGGCGGTATATATTTTCTTTTTCCAGGTTCTATGAGCCGCATTTCACCGCTCCACCGGAAATTCCCTCTGCCCCTACCGTACTCCAGCTTGGTAGTTTCCACCGCTTGTCCAGGGTTGAGCCCTAGGAAAAAAATAGAAGATTTAGTTAAGATTAGAAACCTTGGACTTTCCCCATCTAGGGTACCGCACTCCACTGATTCGCCTAGCAGCACGACGCCAAAGCGGGTCTAGATTCAGGAGTTCTCGCTATAGTCGAGCAGGAAGGAAAGATCATTTCTACCAACATCCCGACTATTCACGCATGAAGATCGTCGTATGTATGCTCGACTTCGGTTGCCAGTTCGGTTGGTGGTTTTGTTAGGGTCGGGGTCCGGAGAAGAAAAAGGAGGCTGGAATGCCAACAAGTGTCTATTATTGAATTCATCCGACCCGATAGTGCCCATTTTGGGAACGTACAGTGCCAAAGTCACTGAATGGGTAAGTCTCCAATCCCTAAAACGGTCTATGTAATTTATCTGCGGAGTTGCGAGGTTCAAACGAGGAAAGGATTACGGTGGATACCTAGGCACCCAGATATGAGGAAGGGCTTATTAATCGACGAAATGCTTCGGGGAGTTGAAAATAAGCGGAGATCCGGAGATTCCCGAATAGGTTATCCTTTCGAACTTCTGCTGAATCCATGGGTCGGCACCCGCCTTAGAAAGAAAGAGGCTAAAGTTACTTTCCTGAGAAAGACCTCTTGATCTTAGACTTTGCACTGCAAGGTAGTGTACTTACTAACTCTTCGTTTTATTTATTTGAAACCAAACTTTGATAGGATTCTAATGACTTTATTTTGAACAACCTAACTGGCGCTGACCTCGTGCTAGCCTAGGTCTTGTTTATAGGATCCAATAGTTTTCTAACTCGAGGACTGACTACCTGTCGCTGGGAGATGCCTTCATTTTAGGCGACATTCCACGCACAACTCGCATTGAAGACTGCCCACACGAGAAAGGAGCGACTCTCCAGGCTCGAACTGGCAGAAAAAGAATCTTTCCTATCTTCTAGGTTAACGTTTAACCGTTTTTTATTTGCCCTTTTTTTATAAAATCTACAAATTCTATAAGTCAAGAAAACTTTTCATTTTTTTTTTCAAAAATAAGAGGTTGATGGGGAAATCTCCATCCCTTGTTGGGGGGTGGGGGGGGGGGGCGGTCCCCTGTAATGCCGCTATCATGCGCGAAGTGAAGCTTGATAGGAGCCCGAGCTAAGAGAATAGAGCAAACTCGACGTCACATAACCAAGAATAGATCGTTCAAGGGAGCAACTCGAGATAGATGGTTAGGCGCGTCAAAGCAGGTAAAGAAAACTCGTGAAACTTCTCCCCTCCTATCCAACTTTCGGGGATTAAAATAAGATGTTTCAAGCGTGGGTGAGGTGGGTTTAGCGCCCATCTCCTCGGGCAGAGGGAGGTGCGAAGGCCCTGGATCCCCACCCGCGCAAAAAGAAGTTGGAGTGCAATACCCTATATGGTGAAAGTCCAGTAGCCGAAAGCATCACTAGCTTACGCTCTGACTCGAGTAGCATGGGGCACGTGGAATCCTGTGTGAATCAGCAAGGACCAGGAAGGGGGCACAACCTTGACTGCGTGCCTGTTGAAGAATGAGACCCTAAACCATGATTGTCAATACTCTAGACGTGCACAATGCCACAATCTAGAGTTTTATTGCTTATCCATCTTTCACTTTACGTGATTTACAAGTTTAATTAATTCCAATTCATCAAACAACACCACAACATCACAATACACAACAATTTACAATCAATCCACTTTTATCTTAGTTATTCAAGAGTGATCACCAACCATTTATTTAACCCAATAATTCTTTATTTAGAAGAACAACCACCAGTTGAACAAAGTCAACGAACTAACCTCGTCATATATGACTTTAACCAATCCCTTTACTCAATCATACTTCAAGTCATGAAAGAGTAATAATAAAATTACCTCGTGGAATAATTAAAAATTAATTCCACCTAAATCATCAATTCCAACTCCTTTAATCAATCATGCAATGCTTGATTATTTAGAGAACCGACAACATCTCCATATATTAAGACATGCTTCTCAAACACAAGCATATAAATTATTCAATTCATAACCAAACAATCCACAATCAAGTAGTCCCCTATACATGATATTAGATTCTTACAACTCCTTAAACGTGCTCCTAGAGATCAAGGATTTCCGTAACTTGTACGTACCTTGAGTAAACGGAGCGAGTGGCCACTTTATCCCTTAAAATTCACCTTCTACGAAATCTCCTCCTAAGCCAAGTAACCAAAAATTTAATCAATATACAAGCCACAAAATTACAGCAATACTAGAGGCCTTTGAAAGCTTTGAAAAATCATTAAAACAACAATTTTAAGCCTTCCAAACACATGAGCTAATAGTTTAAAAGTAGAACTATGAGTTTAGATCGAAAATTCACCAAAATACACCTCTGAATATAGAATTCCAGCATGTTTAACTTACTTAAACAAGCTGAAATTTTACTTTAGCAACATAATTTGAAATTAATGAAACCCATACTTGTAATATAGTTTTGTAAGCTTATTAAAACATGTAGAAACACTTTGGACCCTTATCTTGGACCTTATAACAAGAAAAATCAGATTATATAAAATCTGGAAATTAGTGTATATAAAACATGAGTTTTGAACTTTGATAATGTAGAAATATAGTATAATAGTTGTAGTAGTATTCTACACATGAAAATCTTAAAATCCTTCAAACAATGAACATAAAACCCAAATTTTGCAAAGTATATAATCTGAAAATTTATATGAAATATAAAATTGCAAGCTTTACCATCATGAAATCGTAGAATTATTGGTTAGCTTAGTAAACATGTTTAAACCCTTTAAATCATGAAAAATCAACACATAAACCCTGATAGAGAATATTATTGAGATATTCTCCTCATAGGTTTAGGATATATTTAATGTAAATATTATCATATCTTGACAAGTTTCCTAACATAGTTAGGACTGTCGTACATATTGTAATCCCTATAAATATTGATCAATGGAATTCTCTCCGATTACAGAGTTTCACAACCGAACATGGTATCATAGCCTAGCTTTTTTTAGGGTTCCACAATTTTCCTAAAAAGATATGACCTTTTCCTCTCTTCCGCTTTTCTTGTCTTCTACTCTTACGTGGTAATTGCATGCACTACCACAACATCCTACAAACATCAATTTCTGGTGATTTGTTCTAGCTTTGCCACATGATAATTCTTTTTCTAATTTCTTTGGTGGAGCCTACATACTTCATAAATTGGTTTTTACTTGTTTAATTAACAATGGCTGGCGGTGATGATGAACAACCAAAACAACCTCCTCCTCCTACCTCTAATGACTACCACCCAGCTAACGCCATTAGCAACGTCAAGAACGAAGTTCCCGAAATTCTTGATCGTGACAAAGGGAATTATGGTAGTTGGGTTGAGCTTTTCGAGATTCATTGTCATTCTTGCAATGTTATCGACCATATAAATCCTAAATCTCCTCGTCCTACGGACCTCACAACGGTGCAGTGGAACCGCCTTGACTCGATTGTGAAAAAGTGGATCTATAATACAATTTCTGCAGATTTAAGAAGCACCTTGGTACTTGTCTGATCAATCACACTGATAACTTCAATAGTTCATTGAATTCTATTTTTCGAGTTTGGTCAGGAGGGACAAAAGAGAGATGCTTTCCATCAGTCAAAAGCAGATACCGTCCCCCATGCTCTTAAGGTTCGCTTACCGAGGAATATAAAGGACCTGGGACCTCCGCAAGTTTGGTTGGTGTATAGAGCCGTAAGCGCGGTGGGGGATGACAGAGGTCGTGCTCGTACGGTTCATAGAAGGATATGATCAACTCGTTGATTTTTGCACTACTAGAAATAGGCCAATTTACGACGGACCAGTTCCGACGGACATGAAATCTGTCGGAAAGTTCCGACAGAATTAAAATCTGTCGGAAATTTACGACAGATTTCCTACGGAATACAAATCCGTTGGAATTTATGGGTTTTCCGACGGAATATTCCGTCAAAAACATAATATTTCGACGGAAATAAAATCCGTCGGAAATTTCCGAGGGATTATTCCGTCGGAACAGTAATGTTTCGACGGAAATAAAATCCCTCGGAGATTTTCGGAACATCTATTTTCCGGCGGAAATTAAATCCGTCGGAAGTTTATGACGGAATTTTCCGTCGGAAAATATTTACATAATAAAAAAAAAAACCCTACAAACACTAATAATAAAAAATAAAAAAAAAACCCTAAAAAAAACCCACAACGCCTCTCTCCTCCCTCATTTCTCTTTCTTTCTCCTGTGCGCCTCTTTCTCCTCCCTCATTTCTCTTTCTCTCTCCTGTGCGCCTCTCTTTCCTCTTCTCTTTCCCCTTCTTTTTCCATCAACGAAAATCACAAAAAATCAATATTTTTAATTCGATCTCCCTCCTCTCATGCTAGTTCAAGCAACTTCGAGCGAAAATCCGAGCAACTCGAGCCAAATCTCAGCAATTCCAGCCAAAATTTGAGCCATCAACAACATGTTCATTCGTCAGAGGAATTTTATTCATTTTTGTAGATTTCCGATTTGTATTCTGTTTTTTGTATTATTAACTTGCATAGATCTGGTTTGAATATAATTTTTGTTCAGATTTGTATTCGTTCGTCTGCTCTAATTTGTATAAAATACGATTTTTTTTCAATTTATTTTCGGATCTGTATTTTTTTTCAATACTTTTCGTTTTTTTTTTAATTTTTACCGTCTGGATTAGCTAGGGTGGGGTAGGGTGGTTCTGTGGTGTGGGTTATGGTTAGGTAGGGTGGTGGTGGGTCTGGGTGGGTTAGTTGTGGGTCAGGGTTATTGGTGGGGTGGTGGGTATGTGGTATGGGTTAGTGGTGGGTTGGTGGGTTTGGGGTTATTAGTGGGGTGGTGGGTTGGTGAGCCGTGGGGCTGGGTGTGTGTGGGTGTGCGTGAGCGTGGGGCTGGGTGTGGGTGAGGGTGGGGCTGGGTGTGCGTGAGGGTGGGGCTGGGTGTGGGTGGTCTGGACAGGAAGAGTGGTTTGGGTGGGGGGTGGGGATCTGGGTAAGTTAGGAGGGTAGGGGGCTGGTGGTGGGCTGGGGTGGGCTGGTGGTGGTGGGGCTGGGTAGGGGGGGTAAGGGGGTAGGGGGTGGGCTAGTGGTGGGGATCTGGGTTGTGGGGGTATTGTGGGTGGTGGTCTGAGGTTGAGGGTAGGGGGGCAGGGGGCCGGGTGGGCTGGTGGTGGGGGGTGGGGTGGGGCTTTTTTTTATTTTTTTTCCGACGGAATTTTCCGTCGAAAAATACCGCCTCCGACGGAATATTCCGTCGGAACATCTACCCCATCGACGGAATTTTCCATCGGAAAATATCCCACTCCGACGGAAAATTCCGTCGGAACGTTGCGACGGATTTACACTGAAAGTCAACAAAAGCGCCGACAGAACAAAATCCGTCGGAAATTCCATCGGAATCGACCTTTCCGACGGAATATCGCAAAATACCTACAAAGGGTCTTCCGACAATGCTTTCCGACGGAATTTCAGGGTTTTCCGACGGATTTTTTCTGTCGTTGATTGACTGTTTCTAGTAGTGTCGGGAACTTTCACTCCTCTATATTCGAAATATGCCTTTCTAGGAGCATTATAATCTGCAGCTAAAATGGTCCCTTATGAAGTCTCTATTGGTCTAATTCTTATTGTGCGCATTGTGAGCGCGTTTTGATCCGCGAAGGCAATCGCTCGGATGTTCCCCTAACCCAACCCGGGAACGGAACAGGGGGAACTGCAGCATGGAGATTGTCCGCGTCTCGTCGCAAGGCTCGCTAATATTATTCAAGATAACTGTGAAATTCGTGCTATTTATCTTGAGAATTAATTTAACAATCTTTTTGTTGAGAATTTTCCAGATGTGTCTTCTTATTGCCAGAAATTGAAGGAACTCAAAGAACAACTAAATAACGTTGGTCAACCCGTGTGTGAGAGAACTTTGGTTTTACGTCTTTGTGTAGGTTTAATTAACTCAGACTAATGATGGAGTGGCTCAATCCGTCACTCAGATTCGGCCTCTTCCGGGATTTGATGAAGCAAGATCAAGAATTTTGTTAGAAGAGTCTCAAAAATCTGCAAAAGACTACTTCGGACAAGCGTTTGTTACGCAAACGAACAACACCACCATCACCACCGCGACAACCACCCAACAGCAGCAAGGCAGGGTTGGTGATGGCAGTGGACGTGGAAACAAAGGGCGAGGTGGCAAACCTAAGGGAAAAGGCAGAGGGCGTGGTCAATCCCATTAACAACAGCTAGCCCTAGCCCAGACCACTAACCCCAACCAGCCATGCCTAACTCAGCAGCAACTTTAGGCAAGTTTTTAGCAGTGGGCTCAGCAAGCCGCATGGGCCAGGCCTTCTACTCCATTTCCGGTCCAACAACAGAGGTCAATCTTTAGTCAACCCAAACCACAAACAAGCATATGCAACATAACCCATTTATGGGTAGCCCATGACTCCAATGGACTTGACGTTGTCATTCTCTACGATGACTCTTCCAAACCCCGATAATCGGTGGTATGTGGATTCGGGTGCCACACATCTCATATGACGAATAACGCCGGTAATCTCTTACCCCTTTTTAAATTAAGCACTAAAAATCATATTTTAGTTGGAAATGGTCATCGTTTTCCAGTAACAGGTTATGGTTATGGTACTCTTCCCCATCCTAAAACACCTCTTGTCCTTAGTGATGTCCTCCTAGCACCTCAACTCATAAAGAACCTTATTTAAATCCCTAAATTTACCACTGATAATTCTGTGTCTATTGAGTTTGATCCTTTTGGTTTTTCTTTGAAGGATCTTCGTACGGGGAGAACAATAACGAGATGTGATAGTTCAGGAGAATTGTATCCAGTCAGGACCACCAAGTCCACTCCGTCAACTTGTCTTGCTACTTCCCTCATTGTTGTTTCCCCATCTACTTGGCATAGTCGTCTAGGACACCCTGAAGCTCAAGTTTTTAGCTATCTTAAGTCTAAAAATTATATTTATTGTAATAAGGAGCATGACTCCACGTTTTGCAATTCATGTCAATTAGGAAAACATACTCGACTTCCCTTTGATAATTCTAATAATACTACAGTTTGTGCTTTTGATATCATACATGCCGATTTATGGACATCTCCCATTCGTAGTACTCAAGGTCACAAATACTATCTAGTCTTATCAGATGATCATACTCACTTTGTGTGGACCATTCCTCTAAAATACAAATCTCAAGCTTTTCATTCATTTATCAATTTTCGAAATTATGTTGAAACCCAATTTGAACGTAAGATTAAATGTTTTCAATAGGGAATTTGATAATGACTCGTTTAAGAAAGAATGTTTTGAACATGCGATGCTTTTCCGTTTCTCTTGTACACAGACTTCCTCACAAAATGGTAAAGCTGAACGTATGATTCGTACACTTAATAATATTAAGCGTACAATTCTCTTTCATGCGACTCTCCCCCCCCCCCCCTCATATTGGTTTTATGCTCTTGAAACGACCACTTATCTTTTAAATATTTTGCCAACAAAAGCTCTCAAAAACAATACTCCTACCTTTGCCTTGTTTGGAAAAACTCCTTCCTATGATCACATCAGCTTAAAGCCTCACAAGCTTGACGGCCTCCAACGGCTCGTACCCACGACCTGACCCGAACGGTCTTCGTCTCGAGGGTTAGTCGAGACTTGACCAAAGATAAAACTAGAGTTTTACAAACTTAAAGGTTTTCTCAATATTTAGAGATGCCTTTTTGAGTTCCACTCAAGTTGATTTCCAAATGCCTAATCATGGGGTATTTATAGAGAAATGCAACTTGCACTCCAATTCATGATCAATGTGGGGTAGTTTGCTTTTCCAACTAACTTATTTAATCAAAAATAAATTAAAAGATAATGCAATCAACAATCAACAAGTGGCACATGGAGAGGAGAGGTTAGGTGAGGACCATCACCAAAAGGGGGGACCATTGCCTTGCTCCCCAAGGGTTGGCTCCAAGCCTTGGTACCCACAACTCCAAACCGGCATCAAGGCCTTTGGCAGGCTGGCTGCCTGCCTTGGCTGCCAAGGCTGCTAGCTGGCGCCTGGCACCAAGGCTGGGCAGCCTGCCTTGCCAGCCAGCCAGCACAGCAAGCCCCATCGCATGCGTGCTGCTAGCGAGCCACGCATGTTGCTGCTGCTAGGCGAGGCCCTAGCTCGCTGCTGCTAGGCGTGCTGCTGGGTGCTGCCATGCGAAGGTACACGCACATATGCATAGCCTAGTGTGCTGCTGGCTGGTGCGTAGTGTTGTGCGTTGCTAGCTCCTAGCAAGCAAGCAAGGCCTGGCCTTGCGATGCTGGCTGGGCTTGCTGTGCGCCAGCGCCTAGCATGCTAGCAAGGCCTAGCCTTGCGATGCTTGGTGGTCTTGTTGTGCGCCAGCGCCTAGCATTGTTAGCAAGGCTTAGCCTTGCGATGTTGGGCGCATGCCATGCTAGCACGCACGCAAGGCTGCGATGGCTAGCTAGCATGCATGGCCCTAGCATGCATAACATGTTAGGCTTGCGGCTAGCATTGCAAAGCCTATGCTAGCTCGAGCTAGCCTAGCACTCGCATGGCTAGGGCAATGCGACGCTACGGCCTCGCTCAAACTTGTTGCTTGTTGATTTTGCGACGCTCGGTCTCGACGCTCTAGGCTCGATATCCGACGTCTATGTTCATAATACTCTAATGACTCATCAAATCCTTCGGATTGATTTATCATTTCGGATTGGCAGTTCGTTTGGGTTCGACTCGAAGGGTTCAGTCAAGATAAAGTTGTAATATTAATTGTTCACTAATATTACTTATCGGAAGCGGCCTCCACCCAAGCATTCCGATCACTTGATCTCACTGAAGAATTAGCTTCCTGTTAATTCTGAACCCTCTATCAGAATAATACACTTGTTGGAAGGACATCATTCCTTTCAATCTCTCACTTTTCCTTTCGGACAAGTTGCATATGGTGTATAGCCTATATTCTTTGTCGCTTAATGTCTCTTCATGAACTATAAGGTAAGAATCTTCGTCATCCTTATTACGTTCAAAAGTGTTTCTCGATCTCCGAGTTCAACTGTCAATAAGCAGATGATTTCTAAAATCCATCTGAGCACGGCCATGCATTTTCACAGTCTCGCTCTTCGAGCGGCCTTGTAAACAACAAAGACATATTCCCTATTGTTAATAGGGGAACATTCCCAGTCTTGTACTATAAGCTTCCCTTACTAATAGGACCTAATCTCTTGAGTGTTCCCGTTATAGTCCCCAGTTACGGCAGACGTTTGACAACATCAAAGAGATTAGTACTCAAACAAGAGAACTTCACAATACTCATGGTTGAGAAAACAAGTTTCGGTAGCTATAATGAGAAATGCACTTATGACGATTTTAAATCTCTTAAAGTACTCTCATAGGTCGATCCGGTGCAGTTCCGAACTAGCACCTGCGCAAATGATTTATGACTACTGAAACGGTTCTGTAAATCATACTACACACTAATCTCTGGTGGTCATTGATCGTCCATCAGTTAAATGACCTCGATTAGGGACAATTTTCAATTTAAATATTCAATGTTCACTTAACAAGTGTTTCTTTATCCAAGACATGGTCTTGATACCCTATTTTGAATATTCTCAGAAATTGAATGGACTCATTATTTAATTCTAAACCACAATTAAATAGTAATGGAGTGAATAGTAATTTTGCATAAAATTGATTACTCTAAAAATGAATGGTTTCAACATAGTGTTTTACATTAAGACATGTAGTTTAATTAAAACACATGTATAGGGAATTCAAAGCCAATCTCTAACGTGCTTGATTCCCATTGCCTCCACGTGCTTGTTGTGTTTCACTTGAGGCAAAGGTTTAGTCAAAGGATCGGCCACATTGTCATTCGTTCCGATCTTACAAATTCTTATTTCACCTTCGGATTTCCATTCCCTTATCATGTGAAATCGCCTCTGGACATGTTTGACCTTCTAGTGCTCTCTTGGCTCTCTGGCCTGAGAGATAGCTCCATTGTTGTCACAATAGAGATCTATCGGACCCTTGATGGAGGGTAGAACACCAAGTTCATTGACAAACTTGCGAATTCAAACTGTCTCCTTAGAGGCTTCCGAAGCTGCCAAGTATTCGGCTTCGGTTGTGGAATCTGCAGTGGTGCTTTGCTTGGCACTCTTCCAACTAAACGCTCCTCCATTAAGGCAAAATATGTACCCTGACTGTGACTTGAAGTCGTCTCTGTCAGTCTGGAAGCTAGCGTCGGTGTAACCTTCAACAATCAAATCTTCGTGGCCACCATAGACCAGGAATTTATCCTTGTTCCTTTTCAGGTACTTTAGGATATTCTTGGCCGCAGTCCAATGCGCCTCTCCTTGGTCTGATTGGTATCGGCTCGTAGCACTTAAGGCGTACGATACATCAGGCCTAATACGTATCATGGCATACATGATCGATCCAATTAGTGAAGCATATGAAATGTGATTCATTCGTCTCTCCCGTTCAACAGGTGTCTGTGGACATTATTTCTTGATGAGAGTTACGCCATGGGACATGGGTAGGTGCCCTCTCTTGGCATTCTCCATGCTTAATCGTGCCAGTACTCTATCAATATAAGGTTCAATCCAATCATCCTCTTAGATCTATCCTTATAGATCTTGATGCCCAATATGTATTGTGCTTCTCCTAAGTCCTTCATTGAAAAGCATTTTCCCAGCCAGCCCTTTATGGACTCTAATAATTTTGTGCTGTTCCCAATGAGCAATATGTCATCGACATATAGGACTAGGAATGCGATGTCACTCCCACTGACCTTCTTGTAAACACAAGACTCATCTGGATTCTTGATGAAATCGAACTTACTGATGGCTTCATCAAATCGCAGATTCCAACTTCTACTTTCCTGCTTCAGTCCATAAATGGACTTCTTAAGCTTGCATACCTTTCCAGCATTGCTTGGATCAACAAAACCTTCCGGCTATGTCATATACACAGTTTCTTCCAAAATCCCCATTAAGGAAGGCGGCTTTGACGTCCATTTGCCATATTTCATAATCGTAATATGCAGCAATTGCTAGGATGATCTGGACGAACTTAAGCATTGCGACTGGAGAAAAGGTTTCATCATAATAAATCACGTGGATTTTCCTGTAACCTTTGCCACCAGTCTAGCTTTGTATATTGATACATTTCCATCTTCGTTTGTTTTCAATTTGAAAATCCATTTGCAACCGATGGGTGT